CTCGACTTTGGCGCCCATGGTGCTGAGGTCCATAGGATTCTTGATGACCTCATAATAGCTATGTTATTGCGTCAGAAAAAGTCGAAGATCATTATCAAGATACAAACTTTGGAGCATGGTCTCGAACAGGATCCACTGGTTGCATGAAAAGCACTGCGCTCTTATGCATCTTGAGTTTCTTGAGTGCATTACGGCTTGCACGCAAATCATTCAAGCTCATTCCAGCCGACTGTGCCTTCGGGATATGAGGGGGCCTGACACCATTCATAGGCTTTGGTTTGGGTTTGCCTTTGGGTTTCGCAGGAACTGGGGGCGGAGCCATGGAACCGGTGCGAACTGGAGGCGTTGGAATAGCGGATGCAGTGACAGATGAACTAGAACTTCGGACTTGGGCACTACCAGGCATGATTTTTAGCTTAGGGGCAGTAGATGCAACAACAGGCACCCGAGCAGGCGGTCCCCCGGACTTGAGAGGTCGTGAGACTTTTGGCAGCACCTTCACCGCCGGAAGCGAGGGCGGGGCTTCAGTCACAGGCGTAGGAGGTAGATGAATAGTAACCTTCGGCGGAGTCTCTTCAACTCCCCGGAGGACAATATCAGCCAGCTTGATGATACCCCAGCGCACTTCCTGGTCGATATCCGGTGCACTTCAGGCCGATTGATCCGTGAGCGGACAGTCGCACAACATGATCTCGGGGGACTCACAGAGCAATAGACATCAGAAACTCCCGCAACACCTCATTCTTGCCGATTTCTCTGTCTTTCCTGAGAACCTTGATCATCATGTCGACCTCGCTCTTCTTCGCTTCTTTCGATTTCTCTGGCAGAGAGCCATCTTCCTCGATGAGCAGCGACTCTGTATCCTTGATTGAGTTCTTCATCTCCCCCATGGACACCAAAAGAGCTAAGCTTTGGCATGCGCTACGGGCCACATGTCTCCGGACCACGCGAGATGGATCGTTTGCCATGACAGCCAATACGTAGCGCATAATGGCGGGTGTGTACCACTTAGACATGAAAAGGCCATCGAAGGCGGCAAGACGAACTTGAGTATAATTACCTTCACTGAGAGACAATCAGATGAAGTAAAATTTATGATCATTATAACATACCGGGTAAGAGGGAAGAAGACCCGGAGATCGTTCGGGATGAGGTTCGCAGTAGTCAGAATCAAGTAGAACTGAGGTTAAAGTCTTTAATGCGAGATGGCCGCTGATGTAGGAGGCCACTCACTTCCAATACTGCAGTGGTGACTACATTCTTCGGTGATGGGATGAGTCTGTCCATGCTCCGATACCTGCTGACCTCGTCAATCGCCTGCTTCATCAAGTTGGCATCCTCGGTGGTGTGCTCCGACCGAACTTCTTCGCGAAGGAGCTCGCCACGTTCTGGAGGAGCGATCGAGACAGTTGCACAGGCAACAGCTGAAATCATAGTGCATATGTAGAATGCGTCCGAGTACTGAAGAGCGGTGAAATCAGTAACTACTTGTGACAAAATTGTACTAACTGGATTGGCTGTGTTGTCGTTGTAACGAAGTTGGTCGACAAGGAACTGACGAACCACTGAAGGTGTCTTGCCGTTCTCAAACCGCACTTGAGATATTGCGTGAACGAGGCTCTGAAGATTCATGAGTTGCAAGATAGAGGTAGCATCCTGAAGACACACCTTTCGTACAAAGTATTCCGCCAGGTCAGAGAAGTCATTAGGCTTTGGGACGTAAGTATGAGCGAATAAATCTTGGTTGGGGTCTTCCGGGTCGTAGCAGTAGCGAAGGAACAACTTGAACAGATGAAATAGTCCTAAGAAATCAAGTTTCCGAATGGCGCACTGATGTTTTCACGTCAGATACAACCTTCAAAAGGTAACAAATCTAAAAACACTGACGTGCACTAGGGCCATCGCAGCCTCACACCGAATGCGATAATAGTAATTGGAGACGAGCACTGTCTTGGTGAATGTACTCGAAACGATGGCGGTGGATTGCTTTGCGAGAGCATTAACAGCCTACGAAAGTTCAAGCCAGGAAGACGGATTGTCAACAAATAACTCACTTCCAGCTGCGCAACGACATCACGATCTCGCTGCAACTGCGACACCCACATAAAGTCGGGCTGTTCAAAAGCGATAGCAGCGATCCATTCAAAATCGGCGTCCATGCGGATCCATTCGTACGTTGCACCCGACATCACCTGCTCATCCTCCTCTGTCCAGTCAGCTACCTTCCAGTTTTCTCGCTCCTTTTCCTTTTCCCAGATCTCGAGTCCAAAACCCATGTCGATCAAACCCATGGCTTCGGCAGCTTCGGCGTCACCTTCTGCTGCAGCTTGAGCAGCCGCTTGTCGTGCCAAGTATCTCTTAGTGTTTCGTCGGATACGTTTATACTTCGTGTTGAAAGGGACCTCAAAACGTTTGAAGGACGAGCGAATGTCTAAAACGTGCTCATATGGGGTGCCATCTGCCTCATGGATCCGAACAGTCATTTGGCCCTTCAGAGGCTGGTGAGGGCTTGATCAGGGTGCAACTGCTCGCAAACGTACCTCAAAGAATGGCACGGGCTTGTGCAACAGTTTCGACACCTCGTTATGCTCGAGCGCCTTATATGCTGGCGAATCTTGTCGCATGGTGATCTCGACTGCCATCTTCTTTCTGTTGAAAGAAGCAGAGAACCCGAACGCTGGACAACCACTACCGTAGATCCACTGCTCAGCGAATGACCGAAGATCAATTCCGCTGACCTTCCTGCATGTACGCAAGAACGAGTGCGTCGATAGAGCATTGTTTTGCAACTCTCCACTCATTGCTGACAAGAAAATCTTTGGCAGAACACGAGGAAGACCAAGCGAGGTACCGGACTTGCCGAGACGTCGATCCAAAATGTGCAGCACGAGGGGCGCCTTCAAGTTGACAAAAGGTAACGCCATAGAGTCTGGGGGATCATTGTGCTGTGGTTGGCAGATGGGCGGCATCGATCCGTTATCCCACTCGACGACTCGTTGCATGTCCCGCTTGAGTCTGTATCGGTACTCGTTATTTCCCAGGAGCTTGCGGACGAATAGGCCAGTGATATACAGCGCAAGACCATTTACGAGCCAAGTATCCGACCACGTCTTCTGTTGGATGTTGATTCCCATCCATTGACAGGCCAGGGCATGACTAAGTGCCTGCCGGGTTTCAAACACCTGCTCGATCGAGTCCTCGCCGTGAAGAAGATCCACAGTAATTATGGAAAGCGTTGAGCTGTCGAAGCGCTGAATGGGCATCTCGTCCACTGCAACCACTTTGTATGACCCAAACGGGTAGGAACCGAACTCTGTACTGTAGAAGTTCATCGCCGAACGCAGGAATGAAATCGACGAATGGAGCATAGCTTCGTGACCAGGCAAACAAAACGCATGCATCAGAGGCTGTGATATGCCAGGCGTATCCTCTGATGTGAGCTCTGTCGGGATTGGATACACATGGAATGGGCCAGCAGCAAAGGCGACATGCTGCACAGACGTCAGCACTGCCTGAGAAAACAAAAAGATGGTTTTATTCGAGTTGTTAGGATGTGCAACCTGTGCTACCTTTGTTAGCTCGCCCGATGGGAAATACGTGGATCACATGCCTGTTCCACGAGGTCGCCACTGCAGACAACTACCGTAGGGATAGACTCTTGGGACTCTTCAAAATCACTATTCTCTCCGCGGTGACCGGTATCAGGCTCTTCGAGATAGCGAGGAACGACGAATTCGAACTCCCAAGTGCACTTCTCCAACAAACTGTCGATGCATGGAACCCAACATCTCGCAGCGTCGGGGGACGATGGTGTCGTGTATGCATGCGGTACGCGCTAAAAAAAATCAGAATTTGTTAATCATGAACATAGAAGTTACTCACATATGGGTAGGAGTCGGTGGGCAGCACGAACTGGATGCCATCCACGGGATTTCTCAGGCTAAAGACAATGTGGACTACAATGGGCATGAACTCGGGAGTGGGTGCAGGGGTGTGGGAAGAGGGGCCAGGGGTATGGGGCTCAGGCGTAGCAGCTTATACGGTGAAAGATTGAATGCATGTCATATAACCCTCAAAGACCGAAACTTACCTTCACTGAGATGACCATTCACAAGAGAGTGGTTTGCATGGCCAGTTTGTCGAATCGAAACTTCCTTCGGAATTGCAATCGACAGTTCACCCTCATCACCTTCGGCCAGTGCAGAGTATATTTTCCGCTTCAGCTCTGGATAAGTATGACAATCCTGAGGATTTGAGATGCTGATCTGAGCGAGCGGATCATGGTGAACAAAATCCGCTGGGTGTGACGCGACAGAAACAGAGTGAATCGCTGCAGAAAACACGTTAAACAAACCATCCGGAATTCAAGCGCAGCACATACTGCATTGCCTGGAGTGCAGATGAATAGTCCTCAGATTGGGATTAGTCGGAATTAGGGTGATTTCTGTGTAACCCTGTTCGAGAATGCTGTTGTATGAGCGCCCGCCAGAGTGGCCTGTAGTGCAACGTACCCAGAGAGAGCCGGAGAAGTCAATCTCCAGAACAACTTTCTGATGACTAGTATATACAAAAAAAAGGTGTCAGTACTGATGAAACGCGGGCTAGAACGAAAACACGTATATAGAGAAGCCACGACGACTGTGCTCGCGTTGCATGATTGACCGCCGGTCGAACAAAGAGCAATAACCAGAAATTCTGAGCCCGTATTGAAAAAATCTTGCGTAGGCTGCACGAAGATGAATGTAAGAAGTGAAGACGAAAGGACTTTGAAGGTGAAGACCGTTTGTTGAGTCAGGTCTTCCAAACTTCACGGGTGGGATTGGTGACGGCGTAGGGACAACCGACACGATTACGTAATGTCCAGTCGCGACTCAGTGGCTGTGTATAATTTCCTACTACCGTCGTTACCTCGAGGATTGAATAAGTGAATCTCACATTCATCACCTTTTATACCATTCAGAACTAACCAAAAGAAACAGGTCATTGTAGTTTGGCGCACTATGCCCAAAAAATCAATCTTTAGACAACCGGGAGCACAGCACTTCCAGCTTGTGCACCGATCTCAGCGAGATCCCCTTATTCATGATCCTGACGCAAGCCAGCATGTCCTGAAGGCATTTGTACGAAGGAATGACAAGAAAGTGCGCATACTACGCGATACGTATTTTTTCTACCTCTACTCATTTAATCCCCGCTTCTAGGGAAAAAGTCGGGCCGATCTCGAGTCACTCCTTTCTCCTGATGATGTTGCCCATGACGCTCACGCTCATGTCGGCGAAGCGTCATTATATGGTGTCTATTTCGACGACACTGAGTATGACTACATGCAGCATCTGCGTACGGCTGGTGCAGAGGAAGAGGGTGTAGAAAGTATACTTATCGAGGCACCTGCTACATCTCAAAAATCGAAAGGCAAAGGCAAATCAAAAGATCCGATCTCCTTGCGCGATCTGCCACCAGAGGCACTACCATCCGCATCTGAGATTCCCAGGAACTATGAGTCACAGGAAGCTGTTCCCTCATCGATCGCAGGTTTTCAGCCGGACATGGACCCGCATCTCCGACAGGTTCTCGAAGCATTGGAAGATGATGCGTTTGTAGATGATGGCTTAGAGGATGACTTTTTTGGCGAGCTGATAGCAGAGGGACAGCGAGACGAGGATGAAGAATTTGGTTTCCAGTTCTGTGAGGACGGTGATACCCCGCAGGATGGCCCTTCCACAGAGGACCACGAAGACCCTGATAGCTGGGAAGTGCGCTTCGCCCAGTTCAAGAAAGAACAAAAGGATGCACCTCCACCCAGCAACTCCGACGACGAACTGCACTCGGATGGAGGGGACACCATCGGAACTTTACCAAAGCTACCTGTCATTGGTGGAAAGCGCAGGCGCAAAGGCACTTCCGATGCATCTGGATACAGCATGAGCAGTTCATCAATGTACCGCACAGAAACGCTAATGACATTAGATGAGCGCTTCGATCAGGTAATTGTAGTCAACTTTGCCAGGTCATTGTTTTGATCACTTGCAGCTAATGGAGAAAGAGTATGGCTCTGGTGAGGGAGAAGAGGTCGAGGAAGAGAATGATGACCTTTCATCTGATTTATCAGACGAAGCTCCAGAGCTCGTTACCTCGCGAGAAGATTTCGAGGCCATAATGGACGACTTCATGGACAACTATGAGATGCTTGGCAGAAAACTAAAGCCAGTGCTTCCGGGGGACTCAGGCCCAGAGAAACTTAACACCCTGCGTCAAGCAATGGGCCAGGATGAGCGGGTACGGATAAGATCAGCAGATGATGATGATGACGAGGAGCTAGATGATGACCGACTTTTCGTCGGATATAGTGCTGCAGAGAAAGGGGATACATGGGACTGTGAAACGGTATTGAGTGAGTCGAATCGTTTCATGCAAACTCGCATCTGAAGCAGAATAGCAACGTATTCCAACCTGGAGAACCATCCCCGCGTGATCCGTGCGCGAGCATCGAAGCCGGTTCCGAAAATCACACTTGATTCCAAGACCGGTCTTCCCACTTTAAACGGCGATTCTCAAGCCCCGGAGTCGCGAAAAGCTCGTCATCGCTTACAATCCGTTGCAGAATATGAAGAAGATTCCCGAGAACCTTCAGGTAAATATTTGTTTGACTGCGCCAATGATGCTCCGCTAACGCTTCACCGACCAGCGGCCAAACAAACTATATCCCGCCCGCGCGACGAATCCAAGGAAGACAAGAAAGCTCGCAAACAGGTTGTCAAGGCCCAACGTCAAGTACGTCGTGTAGAGAAAAAAGCGACACAGGATCAGTTCTCCACGGAAATGAAGCATCAAGCACAGGGCCTTGCAAACAAGGCTCAAAGCAGTAGAACAAGAAAATTGTAGTATACAGTTCGCGGTGTAATAAAATGGTGTAATGTACAGGATTTAGATCATCGGGTATTTACTGGCATGGATGGTATGTGGTAAGGCTACAGTGGAACGACATGATGCTTGTGTCTTGAATAAAAGGACGTGATATGCTAAAGCTTCACCAGTCTGGCCAGAGTTCAACCAGACTGTTCAAACTGTAAGGGTCTTCTTCTGGGATGTCTTTTTGCTTCATCCATCGATCAGGGACCTGGAAGAAAGTGTCATTGAAACGCTGTGAAAAACATCCTCATGTCCACTCACTAAGGGGAAATATCTGTCCATGGCGCTGATGAATCGTTGTCTATACTGCTTGGGCGTAACAATGGTGGGTTCTCCTCTACCAGCGCCACCAAGGAAAGCAGACTCCTTCACCCAGCTCTCGAGTTTTTTGTCCCAAGTGTAGGTGCGAATGTAGTCTAGCACAAAGTAAATACATCGTCACAGGCAGACACGAGTTTACCACTTACCAACGATACCCACCACTAGTTCATGGGTATGAGCATCAACGCCGACGATAAGTGAATAATCCATGACATTTATGTCTTCCAAAAACTTGGTGTCGTTATACAACGACCCTCTCAGTATGCGCTTCGAATGTTCACGGAGATAAAACGGTGAGAGATGAGCAGCTGTGGAAGCGATGTTTAGTGACTTCAATGTCTCCAAGATAGCTTACACACTTTCAACGAGGTTTTCATCTAGCAGTACTTCGTTTTCTCGTCCAGTGGATCGCACATGTCGATTACGGGTCGACCCCTTGAGATCATAGATCTGAACAAGTCGTCAGCAAAGAGAGCATGTGTCACGAGTAAATATCGTACCCGGGAAAATCGACGATCGTAAAAGAGGTTCTCCATCACAAAGAGGTTCATATGTGTCAGTTTGGCCTTGCTCGAACCCTTATCTCTCGACTTCTTGAACGTCAATTTGTAGCACCCAAACACCTTGGCGAGTAAAGTGGGACGCTGATAAAAGTCGTTTGGAACGCTTGCGGGCTAAACAAAGGGGTAACTTACGTTGCCATAGATCGCAGATGCCATATATTCAAAGTATGCTGGTCCGAACGTTTCCATTGTCTGAAGCTCTGCCCTCGAAAGTTCTTTCGCAATGAAACGATCGTCTGGTGGAAGAGCTAGTAACATCATCACTTGGGCAAGAGATAAATTACAGACCTCTTGTCTTCAAGAACGCCGAGCCAGACTTACCTCCATTGGCGTCCCACTTGACACACCTTGCCAACGACTCAACCATACTCTTCTCGCAGTCATGCGTCCTGCGCAAAGCATCGAACTGTTCTGGAAATAACACAGTACAGCTGATGGTTAAACCACCACTTTCAAACGCTAGAATGGAGTAAACGCATTGCACATTTGGTCAAGTACAAAGACACTCACTAATTACCCAAGGCATTTTCGTCGACGCAGATTTGAGCTCCTCCGCGGGGTTACCAGGTTCCGCAGTTTCCACGTTGACCACTCCCCACGTCGAGGAAGACTCCGCGACAGAATGGTCATCGGGCATGAATGCTTCCCCTCCATCAGTCAGCTTCGGCTCCCGTGCGGTCCTTTTCTCGGCCCGAGACTTGGCCAATATTTCTCGGTATTGAGGAGAACTGCAAGCGATTAGTGATAAACAAGACGTCAAATGACAAATAACCTACTTCAACGCCAATGCGATGATAGATGTAGGCTCATCGGTCCTTACAACCATAGAAGAATCACGGAAAATGTGTTCCGGATCATTCAACGGATCTTCAACCTCTGGATCCGATCTGCGCGGAGGGAACTGAGCCGAGAACAATCCCTGAGACAGTCCCTGAAAAGCCTGCTTGAATATCGAGTTCCTCCCAGGTTCATCAAGCGAAATCGGAGGCGGCGTTGGTGGGAGATTTATCGGGATCTCAGATTTGAGGAAGGGAGATGGCGGAAATGATGCCACTTGCTCGAGCTGCCGAGCTGGCGGTGGAAATGGTGGCGTCGATGATGAAGGTGCCGGGGAAGGCTCGCCCGCAGGTACCGGAGTTGATGTATCTGTAGCATGCTGCACAGTGACGGTGGGAAGCGTGACAGACTGCTCTGGCGAAGAATCCATTGTGGTTTTATCTGTCGGCTTTCGTGCTTCATCCTCATCACCGCCCTCATCGTCCGCTTCACTAGAACTATCAGAGCTCTCTGACTCATCTTGTATCGCATCTTTGATACTATCCAAAACCTCAACCGTAGCACGAGCAGAAGCGACTGGCCGTGCCTTTCGACCCCTGATAACTGCATAACGCCTGTTTGCTCGCTCCGTATCCCGATTTATGCGCTCAAAGTGTCGTGCAATGTTAGAGACCTTGCTTCCAGCACCTTGAGGTGGCCGTCTGAACTGAGGCTTAGTGATAGGTACGACTGAGGTGGGACGAGAGGGTGCTTTGTCTTTTTGGATGGCTCGGGCAGATGGCTTCCGTCGCAAGGTGCGACCACCACCGGCAGGAAGCGGTTTGGATGTGTGCGGCGGCGATGACGTCGGATCGCCGTGGAGAGGTCTCGACCCACGTTTATCTGGCGAAGGCCGTCGAGATGCAGTTGAAGACTCGAAGGAAGACCCAACAGGTCCAGGCATACGTGAATTTTGAGTGCCCAAGGAGCGACGGTTGAGGTGCCTCGAGGCTATATTCGCTGCATAGCTGGACTCAAAGTCGGACACCGAGGGCTTCTTGACGGGCTCTCTGTGCCTGCGTATAGTAGACCTTTGAAGCGGTGGCTGCGCAGGATATTCCTGTTCACTTTCGGACACTGGAGGAAATGGAGCCAGAGCGGTCTTCGCAAGCTCCTCAACACCCTGCGGGGGTAGGTACTCCTGGTACCGAGCTACCAGCTCTGCAACACTAGGGTGAGCTTGCGGCCGTCGAGGCAGCCTTGATGCTCTTGTGACAACACGTCCAACGCGTGATTCACTTTGCTCCGCCTTGATAGTATGGTAAGCTAGAGAGTTTTAAAGAACAATGTATACACTTGCTTGTGTTGTTGATGTTGCACCTTGGTCTGAGAGTGCCCCATCATCTTTAGATGCACCAATAGTTGAATCACTCTCAGCGTCCGATTTCTGTTCAGTAGCCACGTCAGGCTCAATAACTGAAGGAGGTGCTTCGGTATCAGAAGAGGCCGTCGCTGTCTTCTCTGCAACAGTTTCAAGCTCAGCCTCTGAAGCCTCTGACGCAGACGAAACAAAGGATCCTCCAGTAACCCGCCTACGAGTTAAGGCGCCCTCTTCCGCCTCCGAAACGCTGGAAAAGGGCTGATGAGATTCACTAGGACTCGCAGGATCAGATTTCTTCGGCCACATCGCCCTTACAGACCCAAGAGCAGCAGATACCCTCCGCGCGTTCCTGTCCAGAGTCTGAATGCCCCTCGGCTTCGGGAGTTTGTCAAAGTCCTGCTGCCATGCTACGATCTTGTCCTGTCGAAAGGATCGAACTTGATTCAAGGCGAGCGTGTCAGTCGGAGCTGACTCTTTGTAGATCTTGTTGATCAACTGAGCAATCTCCTCTCTCTCATTTTCAGCACGTGTAATCAGGTTATTGATATCAGCGAGGAGTTTTGCGTCCTGCTCCTCATCGCCAGTCGCTGCATCAATGCTGATGAGCTTGAGATCATCGACAAGAGCAGTGTACCAGGTAGTATTCCGACGGTGCAGCCGTTCGTAATCCGCATTCTTGAGCTCCAGCTGCGATTCCGGACGGATGCGAATGCGCATAGCAGGGTAGACAACCTCATGGAGGATCACAGGATCTGCTTGGAATCGCACCGTCATTCCCTTCTTCGCGAAGTACCGAATGTGGTGCTGGTAGATATTATGTTGGCAGCCAGCACCTTGGACAAGCTGTACGTCTGCGGGGTAGAAGTGCAATTCCAAGAACTTCGCAAATGAGTACCGCTGCATCTCTTCGGAGATGGGAATAAATGGCGTCGCTGAGCCACACACCCGACAAGCGCTCCAAGTCGTGATAGTTTCCGGAGACGGGTAGAGATGCGGACCCTTGGCCTTGATCTGTCCATCCCACTGCTCAACAGCAACTGCAAGTCTAGTTTCATTATGCACATAGACCTTGCAATGCCTCGCAAGTGGCTGATTGCATCCTTTCCCAGTGCAAATCGCTTTCGGGTCAAGGAACTGGACCAGCGTCTCGTTAACGCTCTTCTCAATGAACTGACCCAGCGTGCAATCGTTCTCGCCATAGAACTTGATATACTTCAATCCAGGAGCGAAACAGGCGCGATGAAGACCAAATTCTTCGATCGGAACGGTGTATTCCCAAAGGCTGATGCATTGGTACTGGTCAATCACGAAATCGTCAGCGTTCTTGCGGAGGTACCATTCCCATATACGTCGTTGCTCTTCATGACGATACTTCACCATACCGAACTGGCTCTCCAGCGCAATGTCTGCAGCGGTCTTGAGGGTAATCGTATGCTCTTTCTCACCGGGATCGATAAGGCGGGGGGAATGGAAGAACTGTGACCCCCCAAGGACATGCAATGTACCTGGCTGAGGCTCGAAGTAACCAGCGGGTTCCTCGCCGAGTTCAGACAGACCAGAAGTTGGCGTTTTCGGAAGATCAGGGAGTGGGAGTGCTTCAATTTGGGCTTTTACATCGTCCATATCTGGTTCGATTCTGGACATAGTAGCTGCTTCACTTGCAGGCGTGGGGGTTCCCGAAGGGGCCTTACAATCACTTGTAACAGGGGCCTTTTCCTCTCTTCGCACAATCTCGTCTTCCCAAGCGCGTTGCACACGAGTGAACTCGTCATCCAATTCCTTCATCCTCCTGATAGGCTGAGGGGGAGGAAAGCGCAGAGTAGCAGAAACGGATATGAACGTCTTGGTGTACGGCTCTAGTGACTGCTGAATCCGTTTCGAAAGACGAAGGCGCTCGGCGTCAGCATCCGGAAGATCATCTTCAGCTTCTTTGATCTCCGCCTCCTCCGCCTTTTGCCGCTCCTTATCCTCTGGTGTCACTAGATGCACCAGGGATACGGATGCAGGCACAAGACCACCAGGGTTCGATACTGTGCCGGATCCTTCTGCACACCGCTTTGTAACCACACCTGCCGGTACAGCCTCTGCACTCAGGCTAGGGAGCGTGATCACGGAGTCCTTCCACAGGTGGGTCTCCAACTTCAAGTTCCTCACGACAAACATCAAGAATCTGGTCACTTTCTTCACCCTCTTGAGCGTATCTACATCCCCTCCTCTCAGGATGATGGTGCACCCCAACTCACGGCTGCATCCCTCAAACCGCATATACGTCTTCCGTTGCCCTGGGATCAGAGGGTGGTCAAAAGTCTGCACACGAAACCGCGCACAATGACCTAATCGAGGCTCTAGAGCAAGCTTGTCGATCGACGAAAAGACATCCCCCTGAGTCATCCGAGCCACGAATTGGATCGCGGTGGGCTTTACAGCGCGAGCGACGGCGATATTATGCTTCGCAAGCCCTTCGAGCGCAATTCTACTCACTGACTTTTCCACCAACACCACGTGTGGCCTGAGCGCCGCGATCCTGCTCGCCAAGTTTCCGAGATACTCCTTTTCCTGCCTAAGAATCTGACCAAAGTGGACATATTGACCCTCGACCCGATGAAACTCAAGTGGAAAGGTTACAAGCATGACACGCGGATTACGTTGCATGCGTGACATTTGCTTATGGGCAACATTCTTGGTTATGACGGCACCATCAACGTATTCCGAGTCGCTTGGTGCTCCACCGGGGATTTTTTTGATCTTGACATATCGTCGGACATCCATATCTTCACCCTGGTGGTATGGAAGGGCAGTGAAGGTGAGTTCTTTAGCGACACGAAGGGCAAGTCTGAGCAGAGCTTCTTCCCATTCCTTGATGTTCGGAATCTGCTCGGTCGTGAGCATTTGCCGCAGCATGACGCGAAGATGGAACATGGAAATTAGGTTAAGCTCCTGGGCATAGCTAAACGCATAACATGAGATCATGCAGGATGGCATATATTAAATTTTAACTCACGCGGTAGAATCTCGCCTCGTGCGCCAACCTTCAATAGTAGGGAAGCTATCGAGCCGACTATGCGCTCGGCTCCTGATAAAGGGCGTGGCCGCATCAAAATCGCCAAAGCTATTGAATCTGGAGCGCATAGTATTGTAATTCCCAGGACTGTCTGGCCCGTGTTGGTCCGGAGAGCTCAATGGAAATTGAATTGAGCTCATTGTGCCCTCGACATTGATTGGTACTGTGACTGGAAAGTCAACTGGGGTCTTTGACCGAGGAGCCACAGCAGTCTGTGCGGTATTTTTGCTGAAGTTGGATATTGAAGGAGGATCCTTCTCGTCTTCTGAGAGGTTCCGCCGAAAGGGTGCTGTACTCTCGCGGACAGGCTCCCACTCGCCGAGAGCGGTAGACACGGAGTCATTGTCGGATATCAGTCTCTTTGTCTCAGCAATAGAATACAGATTGAACGGTTCGTCCGTCCTTCCGAAGAGCTGCGACGCGGCGAATGGGGATTGCGGATGGTGACCGAGACTGAGCGCGAATGAATCGCCGCCAAACTGGTGAGCAGGGAATGGAGAGGCTGTAGAAGAGGCAACAGAACGCCTGTCGTCGTCATCTTCATCTTCAACTTTTGCAAGTTTCTCGAGACAGAGATTGCACACTCGGACCATGCCGTCATGACCAAACCTCGAACCCTTGATAATATTGGATGCACAATGCGAGCAGAATATTTGGCCTGCGCTTGAATGAACGGCAGGTCTGAATTCAAAAGGTAGGGTACGTACCACATATACGACAATGATGTTTGCGTCGCCATGTTGTAAAGACGCTTTTGCAATCATAACACTCCTTTGCATTGGAGTCTTCCATCCAATAATCGCGAGAGAGACCTACGGCAGTGTTAGAAGTAATTATAAAAGAGTCGGTATATTTACCTTCACCACGAATGCGACGTATGACTTTGGATACAGAGGCAGACCGATTTACTGAAGCAGTAGTGCGTATGCTACGGGCATCATCCTGAATGGGGAAACCAGGGATGGCGGTGCCAAAGAGACCACCGTCTTGAGTCTCGTATACAGGAGTATATTGGCCACTACGTGAAGGCGAGCGGTCTAATTCTATACCAAAGGATGGCGGATCTGATACGACTGGTGTTAAGGATACGAGGGGTGGTGCAGTCTTGGATGGCACGACTGTCAATGATGACGGACGTTCAGGTGCAGGGGACCGAGAAGAAAAGGTAGATATGTTTACGGCGGTCGCGGATGGACGCCTCTGTTCGCCTGTAAGGGCTCCAAGAGTGCCATTGGGAGGCGGTGTGAGAGTGGAAGATGTCAATGGCGCGGCGAAACTATTCTTCATGCGTGAAAACAAAGAAGTCACAAGAGCATAGGATGAATAATCGTTTTCGTCCTCTTCTGAGAATGGATTGAAGGAAGTCAATGAAGTGACATCGTCGCCAAGTTTTGTGCTGCTCCGAGACCTCGACGGAAGGCCGGAATGGGTGCTCTGTACTGGAGAGTAGGTGAGTGGTGATTCCATTTGAGAGTCAGTCGTAGTTCAGGATCACAAGCTAGAATATTGGAGCTACCTGCACCTTCAGCTTCCACAGAGCATGATGGTTCAACCGTTGACGAACTAAAGGCGGTCAGTTTCCTTACTAGGTAGTTCAATTACTAAATCAATCCTCTTGTCCTCTACTACCGTGACAGTTTCCCCTTGGGAGTACTCCTGCAAGTCAACTCCAAATTATTCATGGAATTTAGGGGGATAACCACAGAATATTCCATTCGTCAGAAGTTTGACCACTTCCGATATCCTACACGCTGCACGCGTCTACGACTGATAGCAAAAGTCTCTTTAAGACCCCCATCTCGTTTTAGGGCGGCCTTGTCCCTGACGCGCAATGTGACTTGACCCTTTCGAAGCATTGTTGACAACCTTATAATTATGTCTCAGCTCTCACCTTCAGGGTCATTCGCTTAAGTATAAATTTTCGTCGAGCACTTATGTATATGGTACCCAAAACATGATGTCCCTGGATGATCATTAAAGGGTAGACATTCCCCAGAGCACCGCGGGTCCTCGCCTCTACGCTGCGTCATGTGGAGAGGGCTTCAGGGGGACTTTAAATAAATGATAACTCCGTAATTTACAAACACAAACAGCCGACTACAAACTGCTGCGCTATTAGTGGTATCAATACAAAGTTTGTCTTCCTCATGGCACACCGCCAAGAACCGCCGCCCATCCAAGAAAACGATCCATCTGAGATCGATCCCATATGGACGTCAAGCCGTACTGCACGCCAGATTTACGCCTTGGGTGATGTTGAAAAAGTGAAGCCGTAACACACCGCATGGGGGTCCACCGCTCACAAATCATGCCTCACTAGGACATAACCCGTCTCCTATCTCTTGCAGCGTCGTCCGTCTCACTGCTCACTCTCCCACAGACGGATGAGCCCGAGGACACCCTCCCTCAGGGAGAAGAGCGCTCAGAACAATTCGTTCTAGAAGTGAGCGAGTATTTTGAACGGCTAGACGTCAGTCAACTTCTCATCGCACATCTTGAAAAAAATTCTCAACTCAATCCCCGAAGTCAATTCAAGTAGCTATTCGCTCTTCCCTGGCTCATATCCGCCAGTCACGAATCGCACCTTCCGCGATCACAGCTCCCCCTCTTGGATTTGTTCCCCCTTCACTCGGTGTCGGTCTTCCAAGAGCTGCCGGATCCAGTCGAGGCCTACAAGAAGAGCGCATCGATCGAGATGCATGGGTGGGCATCCTCGACGCCCTCACACGCCTCAGGGCATCACAACAGCACGAACAACTAGTACAAACTTCCTCACACTACGCAATGAATATATGAGTTCAACTAAACTATAATGAGCTGCGCGTCTATGCCGAGACCTTCGAATCAAAGTGTCTAATATAATGCAATCAAAAGTTAGGTTCATATCATCGCGTGACTGTCCAGGTTAACAGCCGAAACTTACACGCTCGCCTCCTCCAATGCTTCCTCTGCATGTAGCAGCTCAATATCTTCCGCAAACTCAGTTTGGTTCTTGGCTCGCAGCTTCCGAAAGACGCGCATATCAGGGGGGCGCAAAGCAAAGATAGAAAACGAAGGAAATACGCACGACGAGTTCTCGTAGATCTTGTACCGCCTTGCCTAGACGGTTATCAGAATCCTTGATCATCCTGTGTGACTCTTCCAATATCCTTCTCTGATCGGCGTGTTGTCATAAACATGAGCTTTAGCTGGTGATGAATGTAAAATGACTGGTTGTCACGCACGGCACTTTTCACGTCCCACTCCTCAGCGTCATTTGCGATAAGCTTATCGACTTTCCGCTGTTGCTCTTCTGCTTCTTTTGCATACAGGATGTGTTCCTTCAACACCCTGAGAAATCGACTTAGCGCTCTTCGACCCGAGGGTCGCCATTCTTACCTTTTCGCTATGCCTGACTTGATGTTCAGCTGGCGGTGAACGGCTGGCTTGTTCGACATGGTAGTTCAAGCGGTATAGTTTAGATGACTAATTGAAATGACGAGGAAAGATGGTCTTTGCGCCGCAAAGGCCCTATCGTTGCATCCAGATCGACCCCATCGATAAGGTCATAGTTGTTAGCTACTACCGCCGCCCAGAATTTCAATTCATGTGCATTTTGAACTCAACCACAGCAATCGAGTTGCAAATACCAGTATGACTCGATCGAATTCTTCCTTATATCGACCACAAGCTGTATTCTCCCACATTTCAGAAATTCTGTTCAGAAAGCGGAAATATCGATTCATTGCTTGAGATATAGTATGACAATTCTACATAGATGCAGTACAGCCCGCGCTCGCTAGTGCAGCAAGTACAACTGATACCTACAAGAAGCTTGACGAAGAATCGACAAATATAGTGCGTGTGGAAATATCGGCAATGAGACATGAGAGCGTGGCGAGTGACGATGTGTGATATGCGGCGAAATGGATGGCGATAGGAACCAGAGCGTGAGGATAATGGAATGTCGACGACCGATGCATCCAAACCCGCAAGCGGGAGTGGACAGAACGTCAAGAACTGCAACAATGACCAACTCCTAGTCGCCGTATGTATCAGGCGCTCAAGCCCTCCTCAACACACGCTACACTTGACTAGCAAATGAGGTACGGAGGATGACGAGCTGCTCAGAGACATGGAAATGTCGAAGTGGAAAATGTAGGCGGTGGTCGTAAACCTTCAAAAAAAAGAAACTCCGCTGCGCCAACCACAATTGCTGCGCTTGCACACAAACATGCAATGTTGTGGTCGCCATGTGTTATTCGCAAGATAGCTTGATGATCTCGCGAATAGGGTACGGGTCACGAAAGAAGCGGTGATCAGTCGCCGGATCATGACAAAAGGTGATAAGTAGGATGATAATAAAACATGCCATGCGTGCTAGATGCGGAATAGTCTTCGTAGAGGACGGAGATGAACAGCTACGTAAGGAAACCCCATTCCAGAAAGGCGAGGATGCCCGTGAGAGTGTTGCCACTAATGATGCGCCTGTGTATCGGCGCGCACGAGGCACGTACCACAATAAAGTGGTCGTTCGTCTCAGTGCGAGAAGGATGAAATGGAACGGAAGGGGAGGGACAGAGGATGGCGTGATAACAAGAAGCACACGCAGATGCGGCGAAGCATGCACATCACTTGGATGTGACCAAGTGCCTCGAGCTGCCCTGCGGTCTTGTGTCGTATCGTGTCCTCACATCATCCGGATCCAGTCGGTATCCGATCTTCATCGTCAGGGTTTCCTACTCGTCGATGCATAGCAGTCGACGAACGAGCGGCGCAAGCGCCAATACGCCAGTCCGAAAATGAATAGAACGTCACTAGGACGCCCGAAGAGCCATCCATGCAGCGCAGGAAGACATAACAATGCGTATGAAGTTCATGACGAGTGCAGAAATAAAAAATGCGTGCTAAGTGTCCGTGTGCGTGAAACCTGTAGTCCGGCGACAGGCATTCCAGTGTCGTGATCATGCGAATAAACAATGCTGATAATGTAAACCGACGGTGCTTTTGTTGCGGATATTTTCGAGCGAGTCCACGTCAACACGGCAATCAGAAATTTGACTGTGATTGCTGAGATACTGCTGCGACTGCGGCGGCAGCAGCGGCGTGACGTTGCTCAGCGGTGCCGAGCATCAACGCCTCATTGACGCTAAACATGAGGTTAGATTGCGTAGTAAAGCAGTGTTGATATGAAACATACGAGCGAAGTCGCTGTACTTCGGCCTCAGCCTGTTGGAGTCTCGTCTGGAGCTGCTGAGCGGTCATCTCGAGGTACTTGACGTGAGTCGTAGCGCGGTCTAGGAGCGAAACCTTGCTAGACTTCTGGTTGGAGACCGGAAGAGCATCCTTGAGTCTACGGTAACCGTCCCGAAGCTCATCTCGACGCCTCTGCTCTGACTCGATGCGTTGACGACGGATCGTCTCGCGGCGCATGTCAGTGCTGGCGTTTGCAGGGATGGAGGGCTGGAAGTCATCATCCTCATCATCAGAGTCGTCGTTCCTCGACTTTCTCCGCGTAGCCTTGGTAGCAGAACGCGTGGTAGGCGCCGCAATGGGGTTGAAGCGGTGCGACCGCGGCACGGCAGCGGAGTAAGGAACGGAGTGCACGGAGGAAGGGGAGTGGGTCCCGCTTCCACGGCTACGCCGGCCTGAAGTAAGGCCGTCCGACGAGAGCTCACCAGCGCTGAGAGAGTACACAGCGGGAGGCGGAATGCCGTTGTCGGGGGGCGTGTAGGGGCGCCCTGGCGAAGCAGTCGTGTACGACGTGCTCGAAGAGTAAGAGTACTCCCCGATGGAGTTGGTAAGGTTCAACGAGTTGAAGTCCAAGCGAGGAGACGAGGATGAGGGTCCAGGGACTAAAAATAGAACACGGTTAACTCGTGGGAACATATGAGTCATTCAATACTAACGGGACATCGTGGAGACACCATAGGGGGACTGAGGGTACTGCAAGTACGGCTCGAGGTTGGCGATCGAGTCATAAGCAAATGGGGTGTCCATGAAGTTGGGGCTCCGGGGGTGCTCGAGGAGAGTTGATTCCATGAGGGCTGATTGAAACTAAAAAAAAAGGGTGTGTCGGTGTACGGAGGGCGGGTGCTTGCACTGCAGCTAGGTAGAGATGATCGTCGAAATAAGCTGACACTTGAAATATGCTGGGCTACATTGCGTTAAACAAAAGGACTACAATAGAATAATAAGAGAATAACTTACCGGAGCCGACTGCACAATAGAACAACAGAGCTGAAGAAAGAAAAAAAAAGTCGGAACTGGAGAACAGGGAGGTAGTCGGGATCTGAGGATTTGAAGAAAAGAAGGGGATGAGGAGACTTGGTTAGTTTTTTGATTCCGTCTAAATATCCCTGGCGCAAATGGATTGTAACGATTTTTTTAGGAAGGTAAATCTCACGTTACTAAATTTGGAAAGTGTGGTATTCCCGCTGTGCCTCGTGTTTGTGCCTTCAACCCTTCATGTCCAAAAATGACTTCGGAATTTCTAGTCCCTGTCTTCTTCTCTCTAAAGCGGTTCCTATCTTTTCACAAACGGGGCTTGCATTGACACGCATCTCTTCCCACTCAAGTCTCCTTAGTCTAGCAATTACTGCCTCGTTGTCCGGATCCTTTCCTGAGCCAATCCTAACACGGCCAGCCTCCACTTGCCATCAGATCATCAATTCCAAATCAGCTACAACCCGCTCTCCATTTTGTCTGTAATTTGTATCACCCATTTCCTTCCATTGCTAAATTGTCATCTCATCTCCATTCTTTCACTTCTTGCCCGTTACCCAACCCCTTCTCCGAACGTCATTCACGCTCACCCTAAGCTAACTCATGATCGTCTAGCCCATTTACCACCATAGCATTTTTCATGTCGCTTCCTCCTTCCTCTGGGTTCGCTTCTGGTCCCCCCAGAACTGCAAGTCCCGATCATACCGTTCGCAACCCTGACGCATTACATTTTTGCCCGCCGCGCCGCGGCTCGGTCAACTAGTAATACCCTGTCTCGCCGGTGACACCATAAATCTAGATCCGGCTAGCCAAGTAAGGCGCTCTCCGGTGACCCTAGCAGCCGCCCGTGTTATCGAATCGGTATCTGTGGTTTTGCTTAAGTCTGGTCCTCAAATTCGGTTTAATCATTTTTTTCTCAACATGAGGATCACAAACCTCACAACGTTTCGTTCATCCCCCCGCTACTCGCGCTAAACCTTATAATCCATATCCATGCTCCGATCATTTGTGTCACTTTTCTTGTCAACTATTGGTATAATTTAATATGTGCTGTCACGCAGAGTTTTGAATTCACCCACTTGTGACTGATCACATGAGCCTCGGAACGTCTCCTGTGCAATTATGATCACCCAGCCGATGTAAACGCACTACTGAAACGCTTTTTCTCTAGGGCTTAAGGTGTTGCTAAACGCGACGAAGCAATGCCGTCATCTCAACCTTCCCTGACAATATCGCGGCGGTAAGTCAGAACTTCATAATATGACACCACAAAAGAATTACCCCCTCTCATGTCCATAACGAGGCGAGTTATTATATTCCAGTGGTGTTACGCCGTGGGTCCATGTTTAGTACGTGCCTGTGCAATTGGAATGCCTTGTTTACAGCCGAGAGCGCGCGTTCTTTTTGGGAAAGTCTAAAGAACATTCCGTGTCTAATCACAACAGTGCCCTCTCTCGTCAATCAGTGGGTTCGCATCAGATCTCAGTATTAACGTACGAGTGAGTTCGAGTGAATAGATGTGTGACTTGAGAATGGAGGATGATCAATCACCATCAGATGACGTTAGTGAGAAAACGTAATTAGACTTTAAGCAAAAACACGCACCAGAGGCGATGCCTGCGTCACTACACAGCTGTCAGGTCCGACTGTCTCGCACAGACCTAGAGGGTACGACCACAGTTATGCACTGACGGACCATTGCGATAGAAGAATTTCGTTACCGCGGCATTCATATCCCAGTAGATGGCTAAGCCCTGCATAAAATCTTTACCGTGTGGAATGGATGAGTGGGAAACCTTTCGACTGATCACAGGAACACGGCCACAACGTAGGAAGCATGTGGGTGTACATGGATGTTCCGGGTAGACCAAGAGACGGCCGGATGAGTTCGCAGAGAACAAGCAGAGTTCAATATGTCCACTTGTGCCGAAAAAGAAGCGCAAAACTGGTCATGCATCCCACCAGTGTCTAGACTTTCCTCGGATCGGAGGATTGTGGAGTTCCTGGCTCACCGGGGATCTACAAGTAGCTTCGCCCGCGTAGTACTACAGAGACCCCGCCGCTTATCATGAAAGCAAGAAGCAAGCAAAGTTGAGGCGAAAATAGGGACGCCGTAAGCAAAGCGCATCAGCTGCGAGGCCCCTGCAAAACGATAAGACTGTAAGCATCAGCCTATCAGGAGCCTCGTTGTGGGTGAACGAAAACCATGTAGGATCGACGGTTAGAATCGTTGATTCTAGTGCACGGAGAAAAGTAAGCGATTAGTTTCATGAGTAGAACTTATCGTGCGCCGTATCAGGCTTTGTGATTTCGTTCCATTCTGGAAGCATTGAACAAACAAAGGCGATAGTATGAAGGCAAGGCCCCTAGATCGGTAGTTTACTGTATCGCAGATTGAGCGCAGTCTCGAGAATGTCGAGTCACAAGTAAGAGCCCCAAATCAGCTCCTCGCTGTGTTAATAGCGAATCAATGAAGTGGTAGAAGAGCTAATGGATTGCGTTTCGCGGAAACCTGTGGAGCCCGTCGAGCATTCGGCTGGAACAAACTCAACTTGAGCTTGAACGCCGAAAGAGGCAAGTGTGATGGTTAAGCGAGTGATGCCTTCTTGTCACGAGCGTGACACAATTCTTGCCTGCCCCCGCAGTGCCCCCGCGTCACTTTCAGCTCGAGAGATCGCCTTTCCGATTTCAAGCCAGGAATATTTGCAAACACGAGGAGATCTATCCTGATCAACCCAGCAGGAAAGGTGATATCCGCCCTGCGCATGGGTATACGTGATGCGGGCTCAATATTCAATCGTCATCAACAGCTTGCCACTAGCCTTGGATCATCATGATCTCGTTAAAAGCACTCGGTCTCACGATCCAATGCCTTGCATGACGGCGTGTTCGAAACTCTACTTTACTGAACTTTGTATTGACCGCACGCTATAGGCTCATCCTGTCACATGATATTTGGTCGAAGCAGTTCCAGACTCTTTTTTTCAGTTTCACATTAGTTTTCAAGTCACTAAATTGTCCGCTGGGTAGGTTCTTGTGATCCCTCTAGGAAGGCCGTGGGGTCCGGTATACAGATGATGGTTATTGATCTTGCCAGCTACACCCAAAGGATCTTGATCATCTCTTTGTCGATACGGACAACTCCTCTTGACTATATAACGTTTTACACTGATCAGGATGTCTTTCGTTACCCTTTCACGTTTATGAAAAAAATAAACACCCGTTCTCTCTGCGCTCAATGGAACTGCCGATAGAACTGCCTCGCTATCCAGATTCATCTCCGCTGAACTTATCAGAGCCCCATTCTGGAAGGAGCTGCTAACCTACTGTTTTGGTGGTGCTTCTCTCAATCGGCGATGGTTTTACGATTCGGGACCGGCTCAGCTCCTCAACTTTCGGTGCGTCGAGGACTGCATTTTGACAGGTCCATTGTATGGGGAGAGGCTAGCCCCCATAGAATGTTTCGCAACAATGTTGCTTACCGTCCGGCAAGTACGCATCGCCAGGTCCCAATTGCTCTCTAGCTCCCGTG